CGAGGAGCAAGTCACGCCGATAAATCCAACCCGACTTAAAGCCTACTACGTACATGCTAGTACCGTAATAATATATTACATATTGAAATATGTATAATACAAATTACATGACAAGAACATTCACAATGAAAGAAATTACAATTTATTTATAGTGCCATTTAAATATCTACGGACACCCCCAACACCGAATTACAATCAAAATAACATCCCCTTAGGTTTGCGTCACATATGAGCCCTTTTGAAGGATCCGATAGCACACTTATTGGTACTATACTCACCGTTACTCGTCATAAAATATAAATAACAATAAGGTGAGCTAAAGCTCAATAAGTGGGGTGATACATGTGATATGCAATGTTTTTCTAACTTCCCACCATACTCATCAATTTTAATTTTGGGTACCCTAGGTATTAGCAAGTCTACTCTATTTTTAATCCAGGCGATTACCGAATCACCTTCTCGCTAACAATGGAATTATCCCTTGTTGTAGCCACTCGTTAGCGGGAGTCCATCATCTAATAGTGTAGGCACACAGACTTAGAGTACGCACATAGCTGGATTGTTAATACCTATTTATTTCGGTTAGGTTACCGGACCTATTCATACAACCCACTTTCAACCAATTGATTCTTTCTCAATTTGTCCCCGACATATATATGTGATGCTATGATTATCGTATTAAGGATACCGGGTACCAACCCCTACATCATTATTCCATCCCCGATATCTAACCCACACGAGGTCATATGTTCACGTCATTGTAACGTTCACCTTATTAGATTTAAACACCGTCGGTTGATCTTTGATAAACTCGTGAATTTAATTTGCATGAAGATATTTTTATTCTGATTAATTTAGTATGTTTAGATATTAATTCGTTCTACATTTGAGGTATGTGGTTTTTGACATTTTGAATCATTTAAAACATGTTATGGTGTCACTTACCCTTTTGTCTTGAATTTAACACTTTTTTAGGCGAGTTAGGCTCCTAATAATGTTAAGTCAAATTTTTAATTTCTTTTCACAATCTTACCTTTCTAACATTATTTTTATCCTTATTTAGGGCCTAATTGAAATTGTAATTACCCAATTGATATAGTGAAACCCAAAACCCTCATTTTTTTCAAGCTTGGCTAAATGGTCCCTAAATTGGCAAGGAATTTGTCTTTGTTTTTATATGACTTTTCTTTTCTTTTCTTTTTGAAAAACTAGCTAAACCTAATTGGTTTACCACTAAGGTCAAAAGTCTTAAGTACCAAAGGAAACCCATTTTCAACATTCTTGGCTGAATATGACTCTAGGAAAACCCTAAAATTTCAATTTTTTTCCTTCCTACTCCATTTTATTCAATTCCATACAAATCCCAAATTCACCCACTAAGTTTCGTCAACCAAGTTCCATTAGCCACACCCATCCATACATGGATCTAGCTAGATACAAAACTTTAAAAAAGAACCATCACAATCAAACCATAGCAATTACCAATCATGGAACAACCTAACAATCACAATCAAGCCAACAAAACACATCATCACATAAACACAAGCTTAACCAATTACAATAACATTAATTAAATGGCATAAGGCACTAAAGAAACTCACTTGCTTAGATAGATTTGATTAGGATTTTTCCCTTGCTTTTCCCCTTTTTCTTTCCTTCCTTTCCTTTATTTTCTATTTCTCTCTTTCCTTGCCATGCCTTTCTCTCCCTTTTTCTCACAATTGGTTTTTCTCTCTTTCTTTTGATGTCTACGGGTTTTACTTAAACTTTTCAACCATCTTCCCATTTTACTAACATATATACTTTCTTTTCTTTCCCATAAATTAAGGTTACAAGTGTCTCAAATCAATTTAAGAATGTAAAAAATAATTGAGGGAGTTATGGGATAAGTGGCGGGTTTGATTGGGTTTAGGGGTGAGTTGGCTTCCAAGCATTTAATTAAGGTGATTAGGTGTCTAATGGTCAACCACCTAGACAATTATGCTAACTAAGTCTTCAAAATAATTTGGTTCTAGTGACAAAGTACCTTAAGCTAGTTTAATTCCAGTCATACACATACACCTCAAATCTATTTATAGAAGATGCTTTACAAGGCGACCTCTTATCAAGCAAGACCAGTCCCACTTCGAACACAATTAAATCCTATAATTTTTATATTAGAAACTAGATATATTAATTCAAAAAAATCCAAAAATTAGGTTAAAATACTAATCACATGATTAATAACATAATTTTGAATTTTTTACTCAATCTGTCTAGCAGTAGTTCATTCAAAGCAAGTATGTACTAAAATGGGTATAACAATTTTTATATATAAATATAATAAGAAAAATATTTATAGAGGGGTATTTGAGACATATATCAACAACTTTTATTCTTTAAGCTTCACCTAGAAATCAACCTAAGATCCTTGAACAAGCCACATAAAATCCAGATAGAACCGAATTCTCAAGAACACCGATTTTGCCTACCCGATTCCTCTACTAGTTAAACCATCAATCTCAAGAAAAATGAATTTAATTTAGCAAAAATCATAAATTTTAAGCATTAATTTCTTATGGTGTAATTGTCCAAAATTTCATTCCATAAATCCTCACCTAAACACCTAGTATGTTGTCATCCCAAAATTCTCAAATGGCACACATACACAATGACACCTTCACTTATATGAATATTTCAACCCTATATATATATATATATATATATATATATATATATATATATATATATATATATATATATATATATATATATATATATATATATATATATATATATATATATATATATATATATATATAATTAAGGATTTTCACGGGGGTTACATATTGGATCGAGAAGTCTCTACTCGATAAACCTTCCCTCTATACTTTTAAATCCCATATTTTTCTTCCTTTCAGCTCTTCTATAGATATTTTCAACCTTAATTGCTAGCTCAACCCTCTCAACAATAACCACAATATTGGTAAAATTAGATGAGGCATTATCGATCAAATACTTAAAATAAGACGTTTTAAAGATATTTGAAAATATCAAAATTATTTCTAATTCCAGCAATGGTGGATGAATTTATGCTTGCCACTTCATGCAATCTTTATGCATACTCGTTTACTTGTCTCCTTCGATCCTTTCTCCATCCCCTAGAGGTTAGAATGATTTACAACTATCTTCATATTGAACTTATACTACTTAATGAAGGCTTCAACTAAGTCCTTCCACTTTCTAATTTGAGCTCTCTCTAATCTCATATACCGAGCTTAAGGTTGACCCTCATAGACTCGTATCAAAAAAATGTGACGATAAATTTTCATCATGCACTACTTTGATCATTTTACTATAGTAGAACCTCGGATTAGGCATAGGACATTGAGTGTCAATATATTTGGTGAATTCCGGTACCTTGAATTTCTTTAAAAGCACGATGTCAAATACCAAGGATATTTATACTACTCTAACACAATCATACACATCACCCCCTTATATGGCCCTCGGGTGCTCTTCGATAGCTAATAACATGTCTATGTTCAATCCCTTCACTACCTTTTGTTTGGTAGTTTTTTCAATAATAAGGTCTATGATAGGTATACTAGGCATTATGCAACTTATGGATCCATCGAATAAGCAAATTGTCTAGTGAAATAAGAAGTCTCGGCATGGAATATCATGGCCCTTAAGTTGTTTAGTGGCATAATAGATGGCCCGAGCTATAAGTTGACTAATGGAGGAATATATGGCATATCTATTTGAGTTTGTCCTTGATTCAATCCACTTCCCCCATTCAAAATCTTTTCTAGTAGACTGGTTAAGTAAGCAACATCACTTTTTATGGACTTTAATTTCTATTGGCTAATCTTTCCCGATCGTGTTCTTTCTTTGTTTTCCCTATTAGATCCGAGTTAAGTATGGTGGATGTGAGAAGGGAGTTGAGTTTTAACAAAATGGCCTATATTTGAAATCTTAAAAAATTACTCAAAATCAAGACATATGTAATGAATACACATTATATACATACATGATTTGAATCAAGTTAGATACCTTTATTTGCTTGTTGCACATCAAATCATCAAGGATGAGTCAAATTAAGCTTAGTACTCGTTAAGGGTAGAGGAAAACTTCACGGATACTTAAGCAATTTGGGAGATATATATGTCCCTCTTTTTGGTCATAATCTAAACATTCATGAGTCTAGTACTATGCTAAGAAGATTAAAGCAATGGTAGATAGTATTGAAGAAGCTAGCCATTTTCATTGAAGGAACCAAAAGGTACAACTTATTTCTTATTATATGGATTTAGAAAAAAAGAGCATTCCTATTACATTTTTAAGGAAACTATATTCCAAACTTCTAGCACACTCTAAATGTGACTTAGAAAAATTGTTCAAGATGAGAAAATTACAAGCATGGCTAGCCCAATTACATATGATAGATCCTACTCTACTTCTCGCCATAATCTTAAACCCTCGTAGAAAGTTTTACCCATTATGAGTTTCTAGAGTCTTTCATAGAAAAACTAAACTTTCTCACGAGCCTAATGTATGCAATCAGCTAAATCCTTAATGGTGAGCCACATTTACATGGCATAATTTCTATCATTCTAAGTGTGCATGTGGTATTCCATGGTCCTCGACCCACTTAGCCACTTTTCTCTTTAGGATGTCTTTTTTTTTCATCATAGCATGGATGGCTAGCTCATGCTTTTTCCGGACCTAACCAATGATTCTTGGTTGACCCTATCGTTCCTCTTCGGTTCCTCTATGTGAGTATTCAAATGGCATATTATGTCGACTCGATTTATGATCTATCCTAATGTAGCATCTTTGAATTCTTCAAGGCTAGTCTTTTCAGCCATGAGCTCATTAATCTCTATTTCAAACATCATCTTATCATCCTTAAGGTTGACTAGTTCTTCCATCAAGCGAGTTATAAGGTTAATTGGACTCTCATATTTTATATTCAATTACTAATGATCTATTTGTAATTTTTTTAGAGCTCTCTTCACCCGTTGGTGCCGATCACGAAGATCTTTATTTTCTATCTCTAAGGCGCCCACTATATGGTCCTTGGTATTAAGGCTTTCTTTTAGCTTTCTATTCTTCTTTGCTAGTTCTTCCATTTCGGAGTTTAAGCTTTCATGATAAAGGTCATGCTCGAGCATTTATCTTTTTTCGAGCATCTTTCATCGTTGTAATAACCCAAAATTTTCTTATTTTCTTATTTTTTTATTTTATTTATTATTTTCATTTATTTTATTTTTTATTTTTTATTTTTTATTTTTGTTTTTTGTTTTTTATTTGAAGTGTATTAAGGAAAAAGAAAAAAAAAGAAAGAAAATGATGAAAAAACAAAAAAAATCATTTAGGGATACAATTGAAGTAATTAAGGGTGTAATCGAGTCAATTAAAAAGTTTAGGCCTTAAATTGCACCTCCGGGGACCTAATTGTTGAGATTGTACTGAAATTATTTCATAAAGGGGCGTAATTGACGAAATTGAAACGCGAGGGCCAAACTAGAAGTTTGGAGCGAACGATAGGACCAAAATGGAGCAAACTACTCATCGTTCACTCTAAGGCGCATTCTCTCCGAAAATCTTTGGGAGAATCTGCCCAAATCCTCCATGAATTTTTTGTTTTTTATTGTGTATTAACCATGGGTTTTGTTGCCAAAACCAATGCTAACAAGAATCAATGAGAATTTTCTGTTTTGATTTCACAATTAATCATGAATTAAAAAGGAAATTTTTTGACGAGAAAATTCGGGGATTCCGATTCAATTTTAGGAAAATTTTTGGCTATAAAACGTTTGAATTTCACAAAAAGAAGGAGGGAGAAAATTTGGGTGAATAATTCGGGTAAAGAGGTTTCGAAAATCAAAAGCAAAAGGCTTAATTTTTAGTTTTAATCACTGCATTTTTCGGGTTATGGGTTGCAAGTTCATATTTCGGGTTTGTGTTCTTCAACCCGGAATCGGCTCGAGGCATCTTTAACTTCAATTCGGGGAAGATTTCAATTCATTATGACAAAGGAAAGGAAACCGAGGGCAAGATTTCAATAAATTCGCGAGAAACAAACATCCCGGGTACTACGTTTATGGGTTTTCTTTCGCGTTTATCCGGGTTCATCTTGGTGTTCTTCGAAAGTTTTCCGGGTGAGTCCCTAAATTCGATTCCCTGCTCGTTTTTGATTTCGTTGTTCGTTTAATTTCGGATGTTTACTTGCTATTTATTTCTTGTCTTGAATTGTGGTGTGTGTGATTTGAGTTTGTTGTTTGAAAAATGAGTTTAATTTCTAGAAAATTTGAAGAACTAGAGAGAGAACATTGAAGAACGAATTAAGAACAAGAGAGAGAGAGTGTGTTGGGAGGCCATTTGATCCATTTGCATTTGATTTTTCTTACTCGGGCTTGTTTCTAGGCTTAAGCCTAGCACTTAAAAAAAAAAAAGTGAAAACGCTTTAGGCTGGATCGTGTCTCCCAACCAAAAAAGAAAGAAAATCAGCCCGACCACGTACCCCTTTCCCAAGAAAAAAAAAAAAGGAAGCCCGACCAATGAACCCACTTTTCAAAAAACCAAAAAAAAAGGGAAATGAAAAAATAAAAATAGAATTAGGAAAGAAAAAAAAGGGATTGGTGTTAAAAAAAAAAGTAAAAGTGGTGGGTTAATATTTTAGGTATAGGATTTTTTTTTATATTATTACTTTTATTATTCATTTATCTTTTAACTCGTTTATATATGATGATTTTTTTTCTTTTATTATTTATTTTTTAGCTTCGTTTATTTTTATTCCTTGTCATTTTTTTATATTAATTTAGAATTGCTATTTCAATTTTTTATTATTTTCTTTCCTTTAATATACATTGTTTTTTTAAAAAAAAATCTTGACGAAGTCTCCTATCCGATAGGGACCGACGTCATAAAAAAAAATGCCTAAAAATTTGGACGCGACCTCCTATTTGATAGGGGTTGACGTCATTAAAATCACTATTTTTTAAGATGTCCTCCGACGCGTCGGTTGTGTCAAGGCTTTTAGTGGATCCAATATTTGAATCGACGTGTCACCCAACAAAGGGGACCGACAATCGTTTCAATATGATGTCACGTCCAAAACTAAAAAATTCACTTAGTCTAAAAGAAAATAACAGATTAAAATTTAGAAAATAGCTTGACATGGATTTTAGGAGATAATTTAAAATTAAATCGTACATGGTACCTTTTTTCGAAAAAGGATGCTTTTAGGTGATTAAATATCTTCCTAAAAGCGTAACCAACTCCTAACCATAGGAATATCCGAACCGAGTGCTACTTTTAGGTTCCTAGTTCCTTAAATACTAGGTGGCGACTCCAAAACTTTATAAATAATAATTGTGTAAATAATTAACGCCTAAACTATTAATTTTCCTTTGGGGGGTCCCGTCCAACGTCATGTAGCGACGGAATGGCGACTCCATCGGGGACTAGAGTTAGGCCATAGGTTTAGTTTTTAATTTATCTCCTATGTTTATTTGTTGTCATTTTATTTTTTGAATTTTGTTTACTTATTTATTTGTGTATATATTTAATTTTTTTGTCATTTATTTCTTTTTTCTTTTTCGTCGCACGTTTATTTTTGAATTGGGTTGTATGCCTTTTCTTTTAAATGTTGCACACACCACGAAGGAAACCCCTAAAAGCTCGGACCCGAGCTAAACCTTAATAGGAATTAGATAGAGTGATTTGGAGGCGAGTATAACGAAAGTCTATCGATGCTCTTCCAAACTCTCGTTTAGACCGAAACTTACCCTATACATTGAAAATGGTGGAATAATCTTCTCCTACCTCCTAACATATAAGGTTGGAGGCTCGGATTACCCCACTGGTAATTTAGGCGATCTAGAGACTTGAAATATCATTAGGACTAGTCAAACTTCGCCCAATTATAGAAAAGCTAGATCCTATCTATTAAGGTTGACTCGATTAAGACATGAATTATTATCAAATAAATGGCGATACTAACCCTTGGTTTTACGAGGTTATCCTTCATATTAAATCATGACGAAGAAATCGAAATGAGGTCGAGGATTTTAGGGTCGGATCCGAGTGGGCTCAAAACGAGGAAGGAGATTGTCCGCCTTCGAATTTTGTGTCGAAACTACCGTAAAAGGTTAAATTGGGCGACAGGATGGCCAAAACTAATCTACTTCTCGGTTGTTAGGAGATGCTCACTTCCAAGGACCAACTTGATTTCCGGAAGAAATATGGGGACAAAGCCTATCTACTCAAGATCAAGGCCCGGACTACATGCTTTCAAGCCATGATAAGCCATTGGGATCCGGATTACCGTTGCTTCACCTTTGGGAGTGTAGACCTATCACCTACACTTGAGGAATATGAGGCTCTCTTAGCATTTCCCAAAATAGAGGTCGTCTATTTCTACGATCCGTTTGAGCATGCTCCATCAAACTTTACATGGTTGATTGAGACTAACACCACTTTAGCTAAGAAGCAACCAACCCAAAGGGGAAAATCTCAAGATTGGTTTTGGGACATCCTTCAAGTAGAATTCATGAAGCATTTACAAGATCCCGATAACCAAATTAGACTCGAATCTTGGCCCTAACAATATATGGATTGGTGTTATTACCATCGGTCGAGAGCATGATCGACGTAGAGGTAGTCAACGTATTTAAAAGTGTGGTATCTCCGAAGGTTAATCCCACTACGAGCAATCCTAGCCGAAACCCTCTCTTCATTAAATTTTTATCGAAAAAAAGGATATGGGCATTTGAGGTGTTGTGTGCGGTTGTTGTTTGTATGGACTGTGAGCCATGTGGTGACCGGAGAAGCCTCCGGTATTTTTCGCACCCCATGACACTTGCATTCTAAGTTGGAGAATTTTGCTTATCACGCCCTCAACAAGTTGAGCAAGACAATATGGACCAAATTATTCTTCAGCTTAGAGAAATCAAAATTTCATTGTAAAGCACGATATGCCTTCTTTTGGAGTTACACAGCCTTTTGTGGAAAATTTCCTTGGGTGCCACTAATTGGAGCTTGTTCGTTGCATCGGTTATATCCAAACATGTTTTTAAGGCAATTGGGGTTTGAGCAATTCATTCCAAGGAAGATTGGTTTAAATGAGTATTATGAGGATTTGAGAGACTTTAAAAAGTTCTTAGAGGAAGCTAGGATTGCTTGGAGAAATAGAGGGATTGTCACTCCTGAAAGAAGAGTGGATGGAAGAACCTCACCTGGATATTCGAAATGGCAAAGAACTAAAGGGAAGGGATACCATGTGCCACCATTCGAGGGCCCATCTCGACTAATGAATGAGACAATAGAGGATGTTCGTCAAGAAGTGAATGCTCAACATGAGTTACTCAACGAAGACCCGAATACTTGAGTGGTTGAACTAGCTCAAAAGAAGAGGAAGTTAGAGAAAATTCTACATACTAAAGATCATGCGATGAAGGCTTTAAAGGAAGAAAACAAGAAGCTTCATAACCAACTCCAACCGACAAAAGGAGTTGTTGACAAGCTTAGAGATGAGAAGGATAACCTCAAGGAATTTAGAGACACGACACGAGCACAAATGGCTAACCAATCGGATGTAATACGTCACTTGAGTACTCGAGTGGAGGAATTGAAAAGAAAAGATAGGGTCAATCAAGAACAATTGACTAGATCTAGAGAGGATAACGCCATGGCTATGCGAACAATGATAAGGGAAATGGATGTCTTAAAAAAGGAAGTCTGTTGAGTGGGGAAGTAGGACCATGAAGTATCATTTACAAGCTCGGAATGCTAAAGACTATGCTTTGGGAATGCGAAACACTATAGAGCTCTTAGTTGATGGCATTCGCCCGGAAGATGAAGCGATTCAACTATTTTATGAGAAGCTCCGAAGGCTCATAAATGGCATGATTTCCTATGAAGGCTTGGTGTTGTGGCCAAATTTAGAATAGGATTTTCCTATGTAATAGGGCTTTTTTTATTGTAATAAATCACATTTAGAATGTGATAAAGATTTGGATTGCAATAAAAACATTGTTTCATTTATATTTCACTTTTTGTCGGCCAATGAGATGGGTTCGTCATTCCAAGAACTAGTCATAATTGAAATTTGGGCAATTCATATCTTCCTAATCGCCCAAGTATCCGTGGAGTGATTTTGCCCTCGGTA